GATGACAATGCCCGAAGAAAAAAGGCGGTGGAGTCAGAAGCAAGATATAAAATTTAATTGTAAGTGAATAAAACACCTTCGTTCAGTGATGCCGATTTTTTGGTACAAAAAACTACGGGAATTCTTGAAATCTTAACTGACAGGAGATCCGCGCCTAGCTCATCCGCGCCACGCCGCTCTCGTTCGAATTTGCGCTGTCGCAAAAGTTGTGCCACCGCCAGTGGTGAGTGAGCCATGTGTGGCTATTTTTCTTGGATATATACTGAGAAGTGTTGAAAATATGGCACTTCACTGAATATTTTGTTTTTCTCCTTGTACTAAGCACAAAGAAGGTAGGAAACAGTGTCAAGAAGAATTTGGTATGAAAAACGTGGAAAATGTAAGCAAAATTGCGCTTGTATTATGCATCAAATTTGTGTTGAAGGCGGTCATGAACGTTAGGCTACAAGCTGTCACTTGGCTAATCATAAAGCTAAGCACCTCCCGTTTTCCTCTTTTGTACTTTAATCACCTTCCTTCCATGGGGAATATCTTTAGATTACGGTCTTACAGTGCAAGGGAATGTTGAGACAAAATGTTGCAAATGTCATCTCTAGTGCAAGAAAGGCAATCAGTCTAGGTCTCACCAACAATGATTTCTTGACTGATGTCTGCCTTATTATGAAACAGCCTCCTTTTTTTTGGGAAGTCACCTTGGAGAACTAGTTCAATGGATCTATTTATTTGCGCTTGCGACGGGGATAATAGAGTCATTCATATCTGCACCGTCCCTGTGCTACTTACGGTTTCGTAAACCAACCATTTGATCACGAGTGGACGAGTTACTATGTATTTTTGGTCATCGCTTTTAGTTCTGTCTGTAAGTATTGTCATTACCGTAACACAGGATCAACCACTGCAGAATAATACAGGTGATATTTAAATTATTGTCTGATCAATATATATTCTTTGCACATGTTTCGCTAGTGGTCTAACAACATTGACGAAGAATCGCAGTCCATGCAGCATGTAATCA